ATAAAAAACAAATTTAAATGACTCGCTTTGAAAATTAACAATTCTCTTTTTAACGAAATAAATTCTTCGCGATTTATTCCAACTTTTCCAATATTTACGATTCTATAGCTTTAGTTGGCTATGACAAAATGATATTGTCAAAATTTTCCCTGACAGCTAAAGATTAAACATGGGTATCCAAGTAGAAGGGCATATTTTTGAATATTTATTGCGCCATAATAATAACTGAAAATGAAATAAGTTAATTTGTAATATGTATTGGGAAATAGTAGTAGGTATTTAATATAATTAACTTTTTCTGTGTGATTCAAGTGTTCGTTATTTTCCCAAAAATTGCTAATAAATGTCTGTGGCTTTATCTTAATCTTAACAGAACCATATTGGCTAATATAAGTTTTGTCATGTCACCCTAATATTAGAACAATAGAAGGGTAAATATAGGAAAAGTACAAATAAAACTTTAAAATAATTTTACCACCCTGTATCTCAAAAGTTAAGACGTTTAGAACAAATGAATTTGTCTAATTAAAATAGACCCAAAAATCGCCCCCTTAATCGAAAATTTTCAATTTAAAGTGATTCATTCATTATATCATTATAGACTTGTTAAAAGTGTACCAAATGCCATTAATAAGTCTATAGTCGGTAGGAGTTGCGATGGCATAGTTCAAGTTCTAAGATTGCCGCATTCCATTGCATATTCACTGCCATAGAATTGGTGTGGGCTCAGTGCAAAATGTTTTTTAATAAAAATATTGTAAATGAGGCAAGGCACGACGATACTGCAGTAGAATACTGAGAAGAGAAGAATACACTTGATATAACGGTACCACCAATTGTTACTTTCAAAAATCGATGAAATCGAATTTTTCGAAAGTATCTACGGTCGACTAAAAATTTTATATCTCGGTAACGGTAGATGCTAGGGGAATTTCTTTTTATGTTGGATGTTCTCTATTATCGTCTTTTGATTTTTCCAGAATAACTTTGTAACCGTTTGGGCTACGAAATTCAGATTTATCTCCTTTTTAACCCGATCTGACGCCGACGTCAATTTTTTTTCGCAATTTTCGACAGTTTTTTGGACATTGCTATGAAACACGATAAGTGTCCGAAATTTGAAACAATCGAATTCATGCACATATATGCAGCTTTGCCCAGTGACGGAACCTATTGAAAATAAGTTTGGATTCGGGAAGTATTTTAAAAAAATAAAAATCGCGTTTACAAGGGTCTACGAAAACGATCATTTTTCAAAAACCATTTACGAGATCAAAAAAATTCTTGATCAAGAAGACGCAGAAGATTCGGCTTCATATGTTCTTGACAATTTTTCAAAAATGTATTACAGAAAGCTAAAACTTTTTTTAAGGTTTTCACTTAATTTACAGGCTGTTCACGATATTCCCTGCAATATAAGAAATGTGTTGTGTCCCAAATTTGCAGATATCAAATTAAAATTTAGCAGAGAACAAAAAGGTCCGTGCGCACATTTAAATAGTTGAACAAATATTTTTGAAAAAAATTTTTTTTTTTTTTGGTTATTTTTGCTTCCAGAAAAATATGCTTTCCTCCATATCCAATCACGCGATCGTCAAAATTTTGGAACCGTGAGACGCGGGAGATCCTGGGATATAACTTTCATTTTATGCATCTTGTCGATTATATACAGGGTGTTTTAGGTATGGACAAAAATCTAAAAGACCTTGAAAATTGTTCTTTTCGGGAGTAAATTATTAATCGTCAATCAAAATTCATAACAAATATGGCTAATCGGTCCAAACATTGTGATAGGCCGCATGAAGAACTACAGTTTCTGTATTTACGGTTTTCGTCTATCACACACACACTGCTTGAGGATATTTGAAAAAATCCATATGAAAATCACTATTTTTCGGGCTCAGTCTATACGCGATGACGTCATTTATAGTGGGAAATGTGGACGAGAACCTGTAATTCTGGCAGGTTTTCAATTATATACAGGGTGGGTCGGTAACGGGCAAAAAATATAAAAGACCCTGAAAACTGTCGTTTGCGTGGGTAAATTATTAGCCGTAATAGAAAAACTATAAAACATTTGATAATTTGATCTAAACAGTTTCGTAAATTCTGTCACGAGATAGTTTCAGGTTTCGTCTATGATACAGGGTGCGCGATATATTTGATAAAAAATCACTGGAGATCGCTATTATTTGCAAAAATTTTTGTATTTACCAAAGTGTGCCGTGACTTTAAAGTTCGACGAGATGTGAAAGACACTTTATACAGGGTGGACGCACAACAAAATTAGATTGATTTTGGGAAAGTTTCATAGTGGTCCGCAGGAGCACGATAGAAAAACAATGCGTCCCTCTGGGACAAGAAAATTTTGTGGGCATTGTTTTAATTTTCATTGCTCGGACAGAGTTTTCCGGCAATAGTTTCATGTAGATTCACCTACTTAAATATGCGCATATCATTAAGCAACACAAGAAACTGCATGAACGCTAAACATGGGCGTACAAGTTAAATTAATAAATGCCAAGCAAAATTGATTCTCGTTTATTCCCAAGTAATATAATTGTGATCGTTGGTGACGGCCGTCTTGCATTGATCGGATAGACATTTCGAGCGGAACAATATCCGTTGAAGTCTAGGTAGAAGCAAGATGAGCAATTTATTTTATTATGTCTGGCATTTTATTGTCGAGTAGGCCATCACGAATTGTACCGACTATATTTACAAATCTTCTGCATTCCTCCTGCATCGGTTATTTAAACTACTACTATTTATGGTCTGTTCATAGATACAAAAAAGTGACCAATTGCTTTTGAATGGGATTATCCAAGGGTGGTCATTATCATACAATGCAACAAGATTATTACCTAAAGTTTCGGAATTTAAATTCAGGTAAAATTGTGGCCCGTAATAGAAAATAATGTTATACCTACCTGTGTTTAATATCCTTTGGTTTGGTATACTACTTAGTTTAAGTTTAATAGTTCTTATTTCGTGTGTTGAATCGTGTGCGAATTATGCAAAATACATGCGAGTCTAGTGTATCTCAGGACATGCGCCCGCCCAAATGTAGAAAACACTATTCTATTGAGACTAAGGAAGTTATAAACAATGTTTATTTGACTCTCACGGAACGTGGTGCCAGCAAGCTAGCATCTTTAGAAGAAACGGGCACATTGACGAAAATTCCAACATCAACTGTATGGAAAATTTTGAATAATCCCATTTCAGCGAAGAAAAAAAGAAGCGATGCTGACATTTTCTCGAGTGTAGATGTATCAAGATCAGATCAAGATCAAGATATAATACGGCGTAAAATTTACCTGTTATACGAGGAACAAAGCGTGCCTATATTAGATATCTTAATTAGGAGGCTTGAAAAAGATAAAACCTGTGTTAAATGTGGCAGAACTACCTTATGGAAGTGTATTCAACACATGGGTTTTAAAAAAAATGACAAAAGGCAAGTTTTAATGGAATCTTTTAGAATTCGGAAATGGCGACTGGAATACAACAAACAACAACAACAAAGGCCAATTATTTACTTGGATGAAACCTGGTTCGACACTTGTGACGCCCCGGAGAAGGGTTGGGTTGACTCAACTGATAAGTGTAAAACGCACCATCAAAAAGAGGTAAAAGAATAACTATTTTGCATGCTGGTTCTAAAGATGGTTGGATTCCAAGTGGACTTTCTCTGTCTACCAAAAATAATAAAGATTCTTCTCTGGATTACCATGAAGACACCACCGCTGTTTTATTTGAAAGTTGGTTTAAAAACAAACTAATTCCAAATATTCTTCTTAATAGCGTCATTGTAATGAACAATGCAGGTTATCACAGTAGACAGTTGACTAAAACCCCTTCCTCATGTGACACAAAAGCAACAATCCAAAACTATATGTATAATAACGACATTTATTTTCACGAAGATTATACCAAAAAGCAATTAATTGAGGTTCTGCAAAGCTTGAACCTACAAAAGTAATACGTCTGTGATAATTATGCAAAAAATCTACGGCATACAGTTTTAAGGCTTCCTTCCACCTTACCACTGTATATTTAATCCCGTTGAACATGTTTGGCACCAATTGAAATCTGCCATCGATCGTAACAATGTTTTTCCCCGTGTTACCTGCAATGTCCTCAAACTTATAGAAACCGAAGTTTTTAACATCCCTCCATAAAGTTGGGCAAATTCTGTTAAACATATAGAACAAGCAGAACAATCGTATTTCCATATTGCAAATAATATAGAACAAATAATAATTTCAACAGGCGATAGTAGCGATAGTGATACTGATATATTATGTGAATAATTTTAAGTAATTTAAGTAGGTAATAAAAATAATTTGTAATTTTATTTCAGATTTAGACATAAATACATACATAAATAAATAAATATTGTTTAGTATCTTTCCTAACAAAACCCCAAATAATTAAATTCTAAGCAAACTAGGGACCTGTTCGGCCATATTTCATTCTTACAGCTTGCCCGGGTCTTCCCTTCATTCGTATCAGTTAGTCATTTTCTTATATCTATGAACGGACTTTACCTGCTTATATATTGTTCGAGAGGGCGTAGCTAAAGGTAGGGCATAAATGTAAAGACCTGAGTCGAGGTTACGTTTGTTTGGTTGCTCCGCCCTTTCAAACAATATTTAAGCAGGTACAAATTAGAATGCACACCAGTTTCAGATAAGCTCCGAAGAAGCTTGAGAAGTTTGATTTGATTGATATTATTACGGCAGTTTTTGGAAATTTCTTTAAAAAATTAATTATAAATTATTTCTATATCAGGTGTTACTATCCTTCTAATTATTTTAGGCGAGAGAGATTTAATATCGTTGACGAAAAAATGTGCCAAAAATGCTAAATTGTGTTTTTGTACGAGCAGGATGAAAATGCACCAGATTGGTGTTAATCAAAAGTTTCGTTTAGTTTTATTCCGCAAAAACCGCTCCGAGGTGGCAATTAGTAAATTTTATTAATTTTTTTTCCAGCGCAACAACATGGCCAGCACATATTCAACATCAGCGGCCGAGTGCCAGAGCAACACCATTGCACTCCAGACGCGTACCTGACAGTCGAACATATAAACGTAACAAACCAGATGAACAAACCGAGTTGCTACAATGATGGTAAGTCGATTAATCCATAATAACGTGTAATTCGAAACTGCCCATTTTTTCATGCACGCAGAAGTGCTTTGACCCATTTTGGAAAAAAAATGTTGACAGCCTTCCTATGCAATAACTCAATGCGGGGATGTTATTCGGCCGAGGCTTTTTCTCTGGCAGCTGTCAAATCTTGAAAACTTTTCGTAACTTGACCACTTGGCAATAGAAATGAGTTATCCATATTTCAAGGGACTCAGACTAACTAAGGGACTAACTTTAATCAAAAATTTCTTCAATTATTTGTTCAGGGCAAAGTTCAAGCATTGCATTGTAACAGATCATTCTGAACTTCTTTGGAAGTATCGAAAAAACATTTTGGTGCTCACTTAAAGTTGTGTCTATTTCAGAAGAAAAATTAATACGTCCGCGAAATATCAGGGAATTCTCGGAAATTTCGCTTTCATCGTGTCAACGGACAGTCAATTCGAAAGCTTCGCAAAATTCAATAGAATCAATAATTTTTGATAAGATATTCTTTGACACATTTTCAATACGTTTTTGAATGCTTAACCAATAACCAGGATCTAATCGAGTCCTAATATTGGTTGAAGTCAATAACTCCAATTCCATACAATTATGAAAGTGACTTTTAGAATTTTCATGCCTTTTTGTCTTCAAACTTAAATGGTCTAGATTGGTGACCCCTATTTCCGTCCAATGTTAATCGCCACCAAAAAGTAAGCAGGAAAAACACATCTTCCAGCGCCTGACGTTTCGCCAATCATCTTGTTGTCTTCTTCAGAGCTTATCTGAAACTGGTGCCCATTCTACTCTGTACCTGCTTGTTTGAGGGGGGCAGAGCTAAAAGACGGGCGTGAACTGATGACTGATTCCCTGATATTGATAGATTTCTATAGATTCTAAGATTTCCTCTTGGTCGAAGAATTCATTACATGCAAGACATTTAGTTATATCGTCTCATGATTGTATTCGGTAACTTCTGATATGTTTATTAGCCATAGTCTTAAGGCTCTTTCATCTTCTTTGAGCCAAGTTGATATTTTTTCTTCCGGTCTCTCCAATGTATGCGAAGATGTTCAGAGATTCTTGGACCACAGGTAATTCTGGTTTGATTTCTTAGAAACTATTTATATGTATTCAGTGATCTATTGAATGTAAGGAAGGACAGCAGTGGCAATATTTTATCATAAGTTAAATCGGATTCTTAGTTTTTTTTTCTATTTTCTAAAATACAGTTTTTTTTCACAACCACTCATAGCCATCTAGACTAAAAAGACAAATGTGCTGATAATTCGGTTATTTTTAATTTTATGCTAATATTGCTTATGAAGAAAGTTAGAGTAAATAGTATACAGGGTGTTGCATTTAAGAAGTGTACATTTTCCTCATTTTTTCCTAAACCCTACATTCAATTGTTTTTCTGTTTTCACCAACATAATCAGTGAAAAAACTGCCACTAGTCTGTTAATTTAACCAGCTTTGTATATCTACTACTAGCAAAGTTACCGATAAACACTTAATATAGATCAGTCTGTAGAAGCCAGAGATTTTGCTAGAGACTATGTTGGAGAACCAATGGTGCTGACAATTGGTCGAAGGGGTAATGGTGGTTTGTGAATCCTGGGAATCCGTAGAGATGAAATGTAAAGTCATGAGGAATAGGATCTTTTTTAGGTTGACGATGGGATCCGCCTATGAGAGAATACCTTCAGTCTTTTGTTTTGTTTTCATAACTACCGCAGCATTTCCTTTATATGCTTTTAGTATTACGATGCAGTTATTAGATTTTAGACATTTTCGAGCTATGCTTTGGAATATTAGATTTAGGAGGTTTTGATTTTGGAAAGAGTTTTGCGGTTTCAAATCATATTTTGGGAATTAACGTCAGCACCAGTGAACTGTTTTCAACTACCAAACACTCAGGTAAATGTATCATCACACCAACTTTCTGAGACGAAATATGAGTTCTTCCTAGACAAAGTATAAACATCTTTGGGTTGGGTTGGTTTTTACTATGTTGTTTATTTGACCTGGTATCCATACTTGGCGAATTAAATGTCTCCTCATTGAATAGCATATCATATAAAGCTTATTATTATTATTATTATTATTATTATTATTATTATTATTATTATTATTACTGAACCCGGGAGTGATGCAGTATTTTATTTCAGAACCGCCATCGTACGAAGACGCAATAAAAATGGTTCAGGGTGGTACCGCGCATGCTCCGGCCACGCAGCAGCCTCACAGCGCAGCTGCGATTCCAGCGGTACACAGGCTGAGCGTCTGAGACGATCCTCGTAGCTAGAGGAGCACTGCAGTACGCTCACCCAACGTTTCAGGGCGTGTGGTTAATTATTCCAAAATTTGTACCAGGAAGACGTTCGTCCAGATTACTCAGCGCCGTATTTATTTAATTTTGTACATAAATAAACGAAAATGTGATTGTGATAAGTTTAAGACTTGTGATAAGTGCTAAGTAAAATTAAGTGCCTATATGTAGAGGTCCGACCAAGATGTGTGTACATAATGTGTATGTGTTATGTAATGTCGAACGCGATTTGGGATGTCATTGTCCTTTCCAGGATCGAATAAAAATCTCAGTTGTAGATAATAAAAGTATGTGCATATGGGAGTGTATTTCATTCGATGCCCTTATTGAATTTGAATTTTAGAAAATAATGCCTGAAAAATATGGAAAATTCAAACCGGAAACTGTAGACTAGTGTTGGATTAGAAAAGCTGGGATTCCTGCTTTCTGGAAAGGGTTGGGATATATTTAATGGCGGTAGTAGGGATAGGGAAAGAAACCTGGTTTAAAACAATAAAGAGTATACGTATAAAAAGAGTATAAATGTAATACGAAATATTATCCTTATCTTCGGGAGCTATATGCAGTCGGTCAGTGGGTGTGTTCTCAAGCAAATTCCAAACGTTTTTTTTTAGATTTTTTTTTTAAATTAATGACATCCTTCAGGCAACGCGGCCGTCATTTTTTGAGAACTCTTCCCTGATTTCCTCTGCAAGTTTTAGAGCGCTTCTAATTTTTTTTCACCACAGAAGATTCTTCTCGTATAATTAACTTCCTGGGACGACCAGAGCGTGGCCGCACTTTATAAGATCCGGTGGATTTGTATTGATTTATTACATACTTTACAGTTGAACGTGATTTTTACTTGTTTTACCAATATCTCTAAAGGATTTTTTCTCCTTCCATAAATCTACTATGATTTTTCGAAGCGCAATTAGAAATTCGCAATTTTTAGCGGCCATTTTGCTTTTACTTCAGAACCACTAACTTAAAAGTGGCGTCAAAAATAAACAAATACAACTCATTTGTTAAAGCGACTTGAAACTTGAAAATATTGATAACGGTTCTATCTGCAGTTCTGAATAGTGATTTATTAAAGTGTATGGAGACATAGTTTCTTGTTTCTAAAAATGACTTATTTTTTTCGTTTTTGTTCAAATAAACTGTTTCAAATCATTTTTATTACTCTTAATGAGATTGCCGATATTTACTTAAAATATATTTTCGATTAAATGATTAAAAGAAAACTCAAAAAACGCTATATGTACGGAGACTTTTTGACCGACACATCGTTAGAAAACAACTATACGATGTCTATGTCGACTGCAAAACGGAGTGCATACGAATTTCTAAGAAACTCGAAAAATAAATACAAAAATTGCTGGAAATTGGTTAACGCCGAACGAATCCAATAAACGTCAACTTAAATTCGGATGCGTTCTTTTAGCTCAATCGCTGAAAATATGGTGAAGTCATTACCGGATTCACAAAACCAATCCAGTTTCTTCATTGACGGCGACAATATTCCAAATTAAAATTAACAAATTAACTGTCATAATAAAATCGCAGAAGCAACATTCGGTACTTATTGCAACATTGATAATTTGACACACAAAACTTATTTTTTGTTTCGGTCAGAGTCAACTCTAAAATATTAAATTAGAACAAAAATTACACTTTAACACCTAGAATTAAAAACAAATGGTAAAGTGTTATATATATTCGGAAATCCCTTAGCGGAAGCAATACAATTGGATAAAATTATACGGGGTGTCCCATTTACGCCTATTTATGTAATAATCAAAAAAAAATCTGAAGAAATTTTCCGATTCCTGAAGATTTTTCCGATAGCTTATATATTAACGGAGATTCGAGGGATAAGACGGCATATTGACAACAAATTTCTGACAAGCTCTACTAAATTATTATAAAAAACTTTAATATCGAATCGAATAACTAATCAAAATTCAATGTAATTCGAAAACTACTGCCCCCAAACTAGCGACTCCGGTTGATAACATCACAAGCCTTTAATATCTGTTAGAAATAGAAAAAAAAGATTAGACTTCGCTAGACAATACGAGGAGGTACCCAAAAAAAACAATACAAAACTATATATTGTATATACGTATATAACGACCTTATCCCTTCCACTGTTCGAAACATTTTTTATATTCATCATTGGCTATAGCCGACAGCTCATCCCTCGTTTTTTTCCTGACCTCTTCAATGTTGTCAAATCGCTGTCCTTTCATGTCTCTTTTCATACGTGGAAATAAGAATAAGTCACACGGAGCGAGATCAGGCGAATAAGGTGCACGGGGCAGAGGAACCATGCCATTTTTAGCCAAAAACTGCTTAACAGAAATGGCTGTGTGTGCAGGTGCATTATCGTGGTGAAAGAACCAGTCCCCTGTCCGCCACAAATCGGGTCTTTTTTGTCAAATACTGTTGCGCAATCTTCTTAAAACTTCCAGATAAAAAGCTTGATTAACGGTCTCACCTGGTGGAACGAACTCTGCTTGAACTACGCCGTTGATGTCGAAAAAGCAAATCAGCATCGTTTTGACGACATTTTTTTGGACGGGGAGACAGTGACGTCTTCCATTGGCTGGATTGTTGCTTCGTTTCTGGATCGTAACCATAGCACCATGACTCGTCACCAGTAAAGATTTTTGAAAGAAAATCGGGATCCGTTTCAAGCTGTTGATTCAAAGCACGAGATGTTTCAAGTCGATGTCCTTTTTGCATGTCAGTCAGAACACGAGGAACAAACTTGGCAGCAACTCTTTTCATTCCCAAATCTTCGGTTAAATTTCGCTGAACCGTGCTCCAAGACAACCCACTAATCTTTGATAATTGTTCAATTGTCTGTCGACGGTCTGTGAGCACAAACTCTCGAATCTTCTCAATGTTGTCGTCGATTCGAGCAGTTAATAGACGTCCAGAACGAGGTCGGTCATCAATTGACTCGTCGCCATTTTTGAAGCCAACAAACCACTGGTACACTTGAGTTTTTCCCATCTCATCGTCTTTATAAGCTGTTTTTAACACTGAAACAGTTTCAGCATTTTTACCGAGCAGAAAAGAAAATTGCACAGCTGCACGTTGTTCTTTTAAACTTGCCATTGAAAAAAACAAAATAACAAAAAAACAGCGTTAACAAAAAATGGCACTGCAAGTGAACAAAACAAGTTAAATTTAAAACGAAGGTGGCGTTGAACTCGCATTAAGTTGTACTATCCACAACCTAGCGGCAGAAAGGTGTACTATACAAGCTCTGCGCGCGGCAATTCAATTCCGATTTTTAATGGGTACCCCCTGGTTCCGATAGTAAAAGTAAAATATGGCTTCAAGCAAATCAAGAAATGAAACCGGAAATCTTTTATATTATATATCAAATTTTGAATTTAAAAAGTTGTTTTTACCTCGACTTCTGCGACATATGCTATAAATTAAACGTCACACACACTCTTTCTCTCTGTGTACTTCGAATTGAAATAGTGAAAATTGATCTGGTTAGGGTTTTTTGCGTGTCTTTTGAGACTTGTAAATTTTGATATACGAAGTGTGTTCAAAAAGTAGGGTTTTATCAAAAACTATTTATGTATTCATCAAAATTAAGGTCGCCCCCTTCGAACTAATTCCCCCCCCCCAGATATAATATACCAGGGCTAACGTTTTTTGCAATCCTCGAAGCATTTCTGGTAAGCCTTGAGTTCTTCCAGCGATTTGTTCTTTATCTCCTCAATCATTCCAAACCTCCTTGCTTCCATGGGTTTCCTGAGTTTTGGGAACTCATGTGTGCCAACACAACAAAAAAAATATCCAAGATCGAATGTACGTGGCCCCTCCAATTACAAAATTCGCCCAACTTTTTGAGCACACCTCGTATGCTTTGTATTAGAAATAGCTCTTTTATGCAATATATTTTTGAAAGGTTAATAATATGACAAAAAAATTATTACAAAAAATATCAGGTGTCTCGTGAAAAAACCACAAGTTTAATTTATAAATTAAAATTTGTTTGAATGTCGAGACTAGTCTTCACCTTTTCCCAAAAAATCCATCAAAAATGGAACACTGTACCTAATACAGAGCCAAAAAATTCAATTGCAGTAGTACCCTGCTTCATATGAAATAACATAGAGGTTAGGTTTATCTTATTTCGGAAAAGATTTTTTTGCAGAAGAACACAACTTCATTACTAATTAGCATTTGACATTTTTTGGGTAATTTTTGCGTGTGTTATTTAAAAATTTTCGCCGACACCTAACAGACATAAAACAAAACATAATCAAGGCATAGCTTGATAAATTTATAAGACACATATTTTAAAGTGTATTTTTAAAACGAGAAACAATTTTTACTGAAATTGGTTAAAGCGTTCGCTGCCATTTGGTGAATTGTTAACCTAATTCGGGTCTAAAGACTATCATCGGTTGGAATTGCTTCCTAACATTTCACTAGCAGGAGTGGTGAGTTTCTTCAGAGGTCCTTTCATCTCGGAGATGGAATAATGGAAGTGAAGCAAGAAGAAATTTAGTTTATATATCACTGCTGCTATACAAAAAACGCGATCTAGACTAGTTTTTATCTTTTCTACTACGAAGGGTGTCTAAAAATGCAAAATTTCCAAAATTATTCTGTATATAAAAATCCAAGATGACGTTTCTGTTTGTGTCCCCTTCAATTTCACGGAAAAACAGCTTAGGGTCATTATTAACAAGGGGAGATACGCGTAAAACCATCAAAAGTGGAACAACACATTGTAGATAATACAGGGCAAAAGAATTCCTTTGTAGTAGGAAACGACTTCATATGAATTAACATAGAGATTAGCTTAAAGTATTTACTAGTGATAAGAAAAAGAAATTTGACTGAAAAAATGAAAAACACTTAAATATCTCTGGTTTTGACGAATAATTTGACACATACACATATTATACTTCATCAAGAACTTTAAGAACAATCTTAAAAATTACTATCAAGTATCAGTATAAGGACTACATCGTACCAATTTATATTCAATTTTGGAAATTGGAAAATTTTGAGCAAGTAAACCGGCGCATCCGCCGGAAACGGTGACATAAGGTTAAAATGATAATTAAAATTTGTAGGGTACTCTCCTGAAGCAAAAGTCGGACTAAAAAATGAATCTCCTGAAAAATTGTTTGTCACTCAAATAGAATATTAGTTCAAAATTCTCCTAAATTACAAAATAATAATGGTCTCCAGAACTTACAATATCTACGCCTAATGGGAATTATATAGTAAGTGGGGATATAACTGAGCAAGACTTCTAGGATTAA